CTAAATATCCTCTTGACATCCTTTATGTTGTCTCCTTCTTTTTCATTAATCCCTATCATTTTTATGTTATTTTTCTTTGCATCATCTTGCAGTTGTTGAATTGTTGTTTCCTGATTCCTTGTTATTTTTAAAAGATCTTTCCTTTCCTATTCACTAGCTGCAATCCTGTCTTCAAGGTCTGAAATTCTATCTTCACTTTCATTGAGGCGGTTTACAGCTTTCAGTGGAGTTTTTTATTTCCTGTATATCTCTGTGCATCTGCATTATGTATTCTCTTTGTTTCTTATATTGCTCATCTAGGGACTCTATCTTTTTGTTTAGTTCCTCCAATTTTTTAACTGTGTTTTCTTTAGATATATTCAGAATCTCTTTCATTTCTTTTATCATTTCTTTTATCATTTTACCTGGAAGATTATTTCGAGTTTGAATTTCTTTAAAGCTTCCTGGAGTTATTTGTTAATTTCAGTAGCTATTGTGTCCGATATTTGAGGTGAATGGCATACATTTTCTTCTATATACATTGCTCCTAGGATTTCTTGAGATGGGCTGCAGGTTTGAGGTTGTAATTTGGTCTTTTGTTTTTTCATTTTCCTATATTTCTGTGTTTCATGTGTTATTTGAAAGCTTACTCAAGGTCTGTTGGAAATCCCCTTCTATGTTCGCAGCTCCTGAGACTCTGGCACCCCATTACCCTAAGTCACTCGGCCTGTAGAACCAATGGCCCTCTTCTGCCTGTTTAGAACTCCATAGTTCCAGATAAGTTGGGCTTCAGGGACACTGTGCGCCCACCTGCTTGTTGGAAGCTCCACAGTTCTCCAAGCGCAACATGGATGGGGAGGCGGATGTAGATGCCTCAAACCCACTTATCTACTTCACTGCACCCAGAAGCCTGGAGGGTCCCCAACATTCTGGGCTTTGGGCAGAGTGCGCTTAGCACTCACCACAGGTCGCGGGGCCTCTGGAACCTGTGATGCTCCCCTGCTTGCTGAGATATCCACACTCCTCCAGACACATGGGGAGGCAGATGCAGGCGCCCCAGATCCGCCCAGCCACTCCTGTGCACACCGATGGTGAGGTGCAGGAGTCCCAAATAGGCTGGGCTCCAGGGATAGCATGCGCCCGCCTATTTGTTGGAAGCTCCACAGTTTTCTGAGTGCTGCCAGGATGGGGAGGCGGATGTAGATGCCTCAAACCCACTTATCTACTTCACTGCACCCGGAAGCCTGGAGGGTCCTGAACAGACTGGGCTTTGGGCAGAGTGCGCTTACCACAGGCCGCGGGGCCTCTGGAACCTGTGATGCTCCCCTGCTTGCTGAGATATCCACAGTCCTCCAGACACATGGGGAGGCGGATGCAGGCACCCCAGATCTGCCCAGTTCCTCCTCTGCACACCAATGGTGAGGTGCAGGAGTCCCAAATAGGCTGGGCTCAGGGGATAGCATGCGCCCGCCTACTTGTTGGAAGCTCCACAGTTCTCCAAGCACAGCCGGGATGGGGAGGCTGAGAAGTGTTTTTTAAAAGCAATTTTATTTCACTATAATTGACATACAATTAACTTACTGGTTTAAACTACAAAATTCAATGAATCTTGACATGGAACAAGGATATAGCTCAGTGGCAAAGGGCTCCCTGGCAAGTACAAGATCCTGTGTTTGGTTCCTGGTACCCAAAACAAAACAAAACAAAACTAAAGCTAAAAAAACAAACAAACAAAAAAAAACCCTAAGAATCTTGACCTTCATGAGCCCCTTGAAACCCCTCACCCCAGTGGAGATGCATACATCATTTTCACATTTTCTTTGTGGCTCAGTGTAATTGCTTCCTTCCATCCTAAGCAATGCATCTACTTTTTGTCTCTGGGAACCAGTTTTTTTTTTTTAGAGGTGCCAGGTCTGTAACCACCCAGGATTGCGGGGGGGGGGGTGTTATTTGATTTTGTTTTTGTTTTTGTTTTGGGGGGAGCTGGTAGGGTTTTCAATCCTCATAACCATGTTAGGTTTCCTGTGTGCTTATCCTTGTCAGTGGCTGAGCCATCACATCACACTGTGTAGATGAACCACAAATCCTCATGTGTCCATCAGCTGAGGCCCTATGTGGTGTTTCCAGCTTTGACCTTAAAAATGAAGTTGCTGCAGTCATTCTTGTGTTTGGATGGAGATAGCACTCATTTCCCCTGGGAAGGTACTTAGGTGTGAGGTTGCATCTTACAATTCTTCATGTTCAGCTCAGAAATTGTGTATCTATCTTTCAAAGTAGTTGTTCAAAGCAGAGTTAAGATTTCTGGATCTTCCTGTATTTTGTTTGTATATTTTTCAGTCTTTTTGACTGGATTTTATAAAACTAACCTAAGGAATGGTTTTTTTTTATTATTTCTAAAAGAATTTATTAATTCTAGAATTCTATTCAACATAAAATTCAGCACTTTTTTGACTTTGGATAGAATTTTAAAGGTGGAAAACCCCCAAAATACTGTATATACGCACATATATAAATCACCTATAATCTTAGCATCACAAATCTTTTGCTATGTGATGATTAATCTTCATTGTCAACTTGATGGGCTTGAGAGCTGTCCAAGTGACTGGTAACGTGTACTTCTGGGCTCATCTGTACGAGTCATGGAGGAGTGACCCTAGGTACTACATCTGGTCTCTGGTACCTTCCTTCCTGGCACTGTCCCTCCACTCTGCTTCCTGGCCACCATGAACTGAGCATCTTTGCTCCAGCACACCCTCCTGCTGTAGTGTCCCTGCCTTGGAACCACCCAGGACTGAATCCCCTGAAACCATAAGCCAGATTAAACTTCTCCTCTTCTTAGTTGTGGGTCTTGGATTCTGTGTCCCACTAATGGGAAAGCTTGACCAGGACAATTGTTTTTATTTTCATATATATACTTCAACCTATGCAGCTTTTGTAGAATTGACCATAATTAACCCTTACTCTGAGGTCAGATGTTTGAACTGTTTTCAATTTTTTTACCCCTTTAAATGAAATGTTTACAAACATACTGTTAAATGTATTGTTTCATGATTTAGAATTTTTGTGACTAATGGAATTAGATTATCCTAAAATGTAAATATTTACTTATTTTTTATGTTTGCTTTTATATAAATACCCAGAACACACAAATCCTTAGAAAGCACAATAGTGGTCCATGGCTGAGCATGGGGAATGGAGAATGACAGTTTAAGGAACCTGGGTTACCACTGGGGATGGTGGAGGTATTCTTTGCCAGGCATGATGAGGGTCTCATAGGCCTGAGTCATGAAATGCCACTGAACTGGGTGCTCCAGGACAGATGCTGAATTGTAGACTTGAATCTTGCCTTAATAAAGAAAGAAGCACAGAAGAGGAGTCTCCCTACCCCCACCACAGACATGCAGAGTGGGAGCCCCCTGAGGACAGTACTGGTCATGGAGAACTTTCCCAAACGCTTCTTCTCCTCTCTCTTCTGCTCAGAATGAAGGGATCAGGGACTTGTTACTGAGTGTAGGTAAAGAATCAAATGTGCAGTCAGGAAACAGGAGGCTTCATCTGTAAATTCTGTCCTTTGAGTGATATATTGGATGTATGTTATGATCAGGACCTGGGAGAGCATTACTCATCAAAAAATGAACAGAGAATTACAGAATTGTCCCTGAATCCACCCATCCCTTCTGGCCCCTTTATCACCTCTTATCTACCATCTAAAATATGTTAAAATATGCACGATACAAAATCCATTACCTTAGCCAGTGACCAGTTCAGTGTCATTAAGAGCATTTACCTTGTGCAGTCATGAGCACCATCCTGCTCCAGAACTTTATTTCCAAACTGCAACTGTGAACCCTCCCAGCAATAACTTCATTTCCCGTCTTTAAACCCCTGGAAACACCATTCTACTATCTGTCTTATGAATTGGACTCTGCTGGATAATCACATACATGTAATCAGATAATATTTTCCTTTTCTTTCTGTTTTATTTCACTTAACACAATATTGTAGGATACATATATAGTACCTGTTCATCCATCCTTTGGGGATTATTTCCATATTTTGTTTCATGGGAATAATCCTATTGTGAACATGGGAATGCAAATATCTGCTTGAGCTCCTGATTTCTATTAAGGTCTATAAGTAGATGTAGAATTGTTGAATCACAGGATAATTCTATACAATTTGGAGAGGACAGCTATGCTGTTCCCTACAGCACTGAGTCCATTTTACAACCACACAAACAGGTCATGAGGTTTTAGTTTCTCACTTTGATCCTCTGTACCAGGGACTGGGCACAGAATTTAATCAAGTTGCTGGCACTGATCATGCATCTGGGAAGCCTCAGACTACACTTCACCTGATGGGTTTGTGTGGTACATGGGGCAGTATGAACAGAGAGGGACTGGACCCAACCTGCACCCAGGTTAGGGTCAGTTCTGCAGTGATGAGAACTCTTTAGAGACTGTCCCCTTCTACACCATGGAAACCAGTAACCTAGTGACCCACGCCTTGCAGCTCCCCACTACCCAATGAAGCCCAGATGCCCCACAAAGCTGGCCTTTGCAGGGTGAGTGTGTGGATGCTCCACTTTCTGTGTTTTAGGGGAAAGAGCTAGATGAATCAGCTCTTGCTCCTACGTGACTAGTGGAGCAATGTTTGGCTGAGTCCTGAACTTAGTTGCTGACTTTCACAGTTCCCAGGGAACTGATGTTCAGTCTGGGATCTGCCTTGGGTGAGCTGGAAGAACTAGACTGTGTTCAAATGCCCTGTTCATGCCTGGGGCCCCAGTGAGTGCCAGAGGCTAGATGGGAGAGCTGGGGATGTAATCCTCACCCCTCAGTTCTCCTGGATCAGTGATAGGAAACCTTTTAGAGACCAAGGGCCCAAAATGCAACCAAAAGCTCACTCATTTATTATAGTGCCAACACTGCAATTAGACCTGAGTACTGACCTGAGGTTTTAGTTAGGAAAAAGAACTCATCCATTGACACATTTTGCCTTTAAAGAAAAACACAATCACAAAGTTTTCTATGACACAAACAAGTTTTTACTTAAAAGTGACAGTTAACATTTGGTATGCTTTCACAAAATTAATGATATCTTTGCTGGTGTATGCATACTGATAATTTGTCAAAGGTTGGCTCATTCTGCATTAGTTTCAGAGGAACACATGCAATTCTCAAGTCATCTGTTAATCTGTTTCATGTATCAGATTTAATAAGCTGAAAACAGTGGCCCACAAGCATAAGATGATCCAGAGTAACACAAGAATTCACCAGTGCTTTCATTGACTTAATTTTTTTTTGCTCTTTTTGAGACAGGATCTCACTATGTAGTTTAGTTTAGACTGCTCCCCAGCTCACTTTACAGCCCAGGCTGGTCTCAAACTTGCACCAGTCCTTCTGCCTCAACTTCCTGATTCCTGGAATTACAGGCATGCACCACCATGCATGGCCGATTTTAAATTATTTGGCAGAAAGTTCCACACTTCAAGGATTTTGTTTTTCACTTTAAAGATAGTAAAAATCAAACAAACCAAACAAAACAGAATAAACTCAATCAAAACAAAGCAAAAAACAAAGCAGTGAAACTGGCACAGAACTTCAAAGCAAGATATTAGGAAAACAATAATGGCTACCACAGTTCATCTCATTATCTTCACAATTGCTGTCCATTCCACAAGATATAGCAAAATCAAACCAAAAGAAAACAATAAAACCCATCAAACTGGAACACTGAAAAAAGCAAAACAATCAGAATGAAACAAAACAATGAGAAAAATATTGGATTTCAAAGATAAGATAGAAGAAAACCTCCCATATTTGCTATATTTCATTATGTTATCCTCCCAATAGATGCTCAGACCTTTGGTCCCAGACCTGCAAAGTCAAGCAAGCAATACAAGCATTCAGGTGCTTTTTGGACCTCAGTTGCTATCAGCTCAACATGTCCGCAGAACCAGCCAGTTGCTTATGGGAGAGAGCGATGCTGATTCTCAGCCCATGTGCCTGTGGTCTCACAGGAGGAGCTGACTTTTCTCTTCCTGGACCCCGCATGGCTTTTAAAGCTTGCCAGACAGCTTGGCTGGTTGTTTTCTTGGTGGGCTCCTCCTAGGCCCATTATGGCCCATTCTCGGGAGAAGCTGAGTTTTTTCCTCAGGATTTCGTTTTCAGAACTGCCAACTGTGCTGTCCTTTGTCATTCTTTCACACTCTGTCTTCTCAAGTGTTGCTCATTTGTCATAGAAATTATTTGTCCAACAGGTTTTTCTTGAAATTCCAATAATTGTATTTCCATATTTCCAAATCTAACCAGTGTTATGATGAACAATCAAGTTCTTCAAATTTGGCTTTATCTGGAGAAGAAAGAAAACACAGGGTGAGCTGGCTGTGTTGGCGCATGCCTATAATCCCTGCACTGAGGAGGTGAGGCAAGAGGATCTCTGCAAATTCAAAACTAGCCTGGGCTACAAAGTGAGCACAAGGTCAGCCTGAGCTGCACAGCAAGACACAGTTTCAAAAAACAAAAGCAAACAAACAAACAAAAAACTCCAGTGTTGTCTCCATGTCACAGAACTGTGAAAGTCTGGTACTAAGATTCTCCTTTGAAGCTACTACAATGGTAGCAAATTCTTTGTAGGTTTCCTGATGGCTTGTGGGATTGTCAGCAAATGTTGTAGAATTTTCTAAATGCATACTTAGAATTAGAAAATAATTCAGCTGCCTACTTTCAAGATCTCTTTCAAAAACCTGCAGTGTTGGATCAAATGTGTTGATATTACGATACATTTTTTCACCTGTTTTTCTAAACTTTGTAGTTTTTTGTTTAGTACACAGAAGTGTAGCATAAAATCTATGAAAACCGTGAGACTTTTATGTGAGGCCACATCAGTGACCTGTGGATATTTCTGCCATTTTTCATCCTAAACAGCCTTATTTCATCCAAGCAGCTGCAGATCTCCCCGGACACGTCAGCTGCTCAGCCATGGGACACCATTGTACCTAAGTAAATCAATACACTGAGCCATATTTTGCTATGCACAATAAAATTTAAAATCAGGCATCTACAGGAATATTTGTTTTAGAATGATAATTACAAGAACTAAGAGACTGGGAATAGTTCCAGTTTTCCTTCTAGAAACTCTCACCTTTCAGTTTCACCAAGTTTAGCAACACTTTTGTGGTTGGTGTCAAAGCGTCATCTGACACTTGATGTACAGTACCCAGCAGTTTCACCACACAGAGTGCACAGTGCTGTCCCACTGTGTGCAGTCACTCCAATGACTCTCTTCAGGCCTCCTGGGGTGATCTCTGCCATGTATTTTCAGTTTTGTGCTTTTTTTCCTCTTAGTCATTTTTTGGTTTTTAAACTTCATGTCTATGAAAAACATAAAAGTTTTTTAAAGGTAAAGCACCAAATACAAACCTACCCCTACAACAAAAATAGCTAATACTATTAGTTAACACTAAAGAATTGGGTGTTACCTGAATTCACAATCTATATCAGTGATTCTCAGTTGGGGTTCCTCTTGAATTTTGTGGCCATCAGCACAAGGAAGCAATGTTTTACTGACCAGCATCTTTTGGCCTGCCCTAAAAAAGGCATCTGAGTGCGTTGCCTACCTTGTGGGCTTTTGCTAGCATCACACCCAGGCCAAGCAAATATATCCTTGACTTTTTTTCATAAATTAGTCACACACAACTAAACATGATGCTGTTTATATATGCCAGGGGGACGGCATAACATTAAAAGTGTCTCTGTCTCTTAATTACAACCTCTTCATTAAAACTTAGATATTAAGTTTCAAATTTTCATAAGAAAACTCAAAGCTAAAATCTTGCATTAGTAAAAATAGATGTACTAAAACTCACACTTAATACGAGCAGAGTCAAAGGCCAAGGGTAAAGTGCCCTGTGTTGACAGGCAGAGAAAGATGTGGGGCAGGTACATGTCAAGAGGTGCCAAGGAGACCAGCAGTCACCAGAAGAGCTGAAGAACAAGACTCCCTTTGTGACCTCAAAGGGAGAATGACCATGTTAACACCTTGATTTCTGATTTTGAGTTCCCAGGCCTTTAAAGAACACATTTCTGCTGTTTTAAATCATTTGGTGTGTGGTACTCTAAGCTTTCCCTGGGAAGCTAATATAACAATTCACTGTGTGTGAGGCACTGCACCAAGTACTCCAGGTGACAGTGGGAAAGTAGCAAAGACCCTTCAGTGGGGGAGGCAGACTGTCCCCCTCTGTCCTTGGTGTGAAGTGAAAGCTTGTTTTCCCAGTCAGTGCCTGGTCAGGCATCATAGCTCGGCTCTTTGCTCATCTCTCTGTCAGCTTTCACACTTTGACAGCCCTCTACCCGGTTTGCAGTTAGATTTGGAAAACCTGAGATCTTTTGGGTCACCACACAGGCCATGGTGATCAATGCCTATGCTGAATCACGATCACTGTGGTCAGTTACACACCTGCACACCTATCTTCCCTCTAGGTTGTGAGGACCAGATGTCATGGGTTACTAAGTCTAGCGCCCTGCACATGCTAGACAAGAGCTCTACCACTGAGCGATGTGCCCAACACTGTCAGGGATTTTTAACATCACTTGTATTATTTAGCAAAGTGCCTGGCACAAGTGCCTAAAGACTACTAAAGAAACAGGTTAAGAACAAAGCTAACTTGGCATGCTACTACATGCCTGGAGAGCCAGCTGCTCAGAAAGCTTAGGCAGGAATACCATTTGACCTTATGAGTTTAAGGCTTGCCTCTCAAAAAAAAAAAAAAAACAAGTCTCAAATAAGCAAAACAGATCACTCTGAGGTTATGAATATATCTATATTCATATTATATTCAATATATTATATGAATATATATATAGATAGATAGATAGATAGATAGATAGATATATCCACTTAAAGAGATGTTAGGAGTTTCATAGCCACAGAACTGTAATTGCCCTCAAACTAGCAATTACCCAAAAATACATCAACCTGTGAGTAGAAGAGACTGGCCAGGAGAAGGGACAAATCAAGGTGAGACTCAGAGTCGTGAGAACAAATACATCTGTAACTACATGAAACAGGTCATAGATGTAATGGCTTGTGGATGGATCAATGTGTAAAACTCACAAACATAAAGATAAGTGAAAAAGTCACACACACCCTCAGAAAACACAAACTGTAAGAGCACATACAGGGATATAAATGCACATGCATATGTATAACTGATAAAAACAGGACAAATTATTCTCTGGATAGTATTTATCTTGGGGGAGGAGAGGAGAAGCAGCCAGAAAAGAGGATAAGAGGTGGATGTTAATTTCATTTATGAACATTCATTGAATTCAACATTTTCCTTTCTTATTCCTTGTTACCAAAGCTTCACTTTCCTAGCTGCCTTCCTACGAAACTTGTCAAAGTTGACTCGCTGCTCCGTCTCCACCTCCTGGCCATTCTGTGAACTACAATGCTCTGCTAGAGAGAGTTCCTGACGCAGCCAGGCTGAGTGAGAGGGATTCTGGTTAATACTTTGGGCAGAAGACAAAGCCAGCCAATCAGCCAAGCCCTTCTAGTGTGCAAAAACCAGTTTAGGGGCCTTTTGTTCAAGCACACAACATCTCTCAGACCCAACACCCACATGTGCACTCAAATAGAGTGGGACAAATCCATCAACCTAGTCACCTCCTTCTGATTGCCATCTCTCCTAGGCACCACAGATCTCACTTACAAGTGCAGTTTGCAGGTCGTAAATATGAGGAGATATCTTTATCGCACTCTACATCTTAAAAACACCCTACACTCTTGGGAAAACAAATGTATTTAATATACTATGAGGTTAGCAATAATTAATAGCAACACTATGTAGAAACTTTAACATGTATTTACTTAGATTTTACTCATAAGGCAAAGTTTAGATTTTTTAATAAAATACAGAATTTGAGGATTAAAGGACGTCTATAGAAATCTCGTAAATATAGGAAACTATGTTAATGACCATATATATATATAGACTTATTACCCAATACAATTGTATCTCATTCATGTAGTAGCAAAATGCTTATTTAATAAATCCCAGTAGATGTAGATCAAGCTTTAAGTGCCAGGACCAACTTTAAAGAGATGTCTAGATATTTAACGGCTGCTTAACCTTTACATGTACACTGTGTGACAGAGAGCACCTGCTATTTTTGTATGCACTAAACGTATGCAGCCTTAACTCTGTACCTGACATTCTCCTGATCTCAACAACAATTTTCCTGGGATGGGGACAGAACAACCAACCACCAAAGCAGTGGGGCAGCTGCTCCCAGAGCTTTTCTTGTCTTGGTTCATTTAGGAAGTTGCCACAGTCCTCTGGGTCGCTCTTTGGGCCCTGTTTGTGTTTTCAAGAACTTTCTGACAATATGGGGACCATCGTAAGAGAGGCAGGAGCCACTGTGAGGGGTTTAAGAGTGGAGGAGAAAGAACTCCACATGCACCTTGGAAAATTAGTGATGCACAGCTGCAGAACAGGGTCAGGTCAGGGCGTTGGCAACACTAAGAGTGAGCAGCAGATGGAAGGGAGCTGCTTCCTGACCCAGGCTAACAGGATGCTTGCAGAGGGCAGGCCAGGCTCAACAGGCATGAGCTGCGAGATGGTGGAGGATGAGGACCCAATCAGATGTTAAGGGTGATCAGAAATCAGGGATGGAGGCTTATGGCCAGCTGAATTAGCAGGACACTTCCTAAGATTGGATAATGCAGATACCTGAGCCTGTCACAGAGTACATAGCAATTCTCCTCCATGACAAGACAGGAAACTCTACACAAGGCCCAGCATGAGTAGAGGTCCCCATCTCCTCTTTGTGAAGACTCCTCAGACCCTGTCAGGATCCTGACTAGGGTTTGGGCAAGGAGAGAATATTTGTCAGACACAAATGCAAGTGACACATGCCACTACCCAATACAATTCTTAAAAGTCAGGGCTGTGAAACAAAATAAAACAAAACCAGAAAGCTAAGATTAAGACTTCCTGAGGTAAGTCAGGAAATAGCTGTAGGAGAGTAGGCAAACCAGCTGAAGGTGATACTGCAGAATGTTCCTAGATTTAGAGAACAACTGAAGCTCTTCACCTCCTCCTCCAACACCCCTCACCCAGGAATGTCTTTGTTAACTAACAGTCAGATGCATGTGTGACTCAGGTGTCTGCCTAGGCAGGGAGCTGTCTCTGAAAATAACTCTGTGGGAATCCCCTGCAACAAACTTCACTGCATCTGCCTTATGGGGCTGCCTTGAGGAAGTGCACCTGAATTGCAACACTGTTTCCCATGTACTATTTTTTTAGACTTCTATTTTTCACAGCTGACACTGAATAACTAGTAAACATTCTTTTCCCTCTGCTGTTAAGAACGGCAGTGTCCCACTGAGGGGAAGGAAGTGCAGGCAATGTGAGTTAGACACCACTGTTGGCCCATGAGAGATGCACACATGAAAATTGCTTTTTGTTTGTGTCTGTGATAGTTTGGATTGTAATTGTCCCTCAGAGATCCTTGTGGTAGAGGTTTGGTCATCAGCCTGTGGCACTACTGGGAAGCCAGCATGAAAGAATGTAAACACAACAACATATACAGAGCCTGGATGATAAAGATACAATTGTTCTCTCTGCTTGCTGCCTGCTGCTGCTGATGGGCCGATGTCTGCCTTCCTGCTGTCTCTGGGGACCTCACAAGCAATTTACCCCTTAGCCTCCTCAACTCTGATAGCTATAAAGGCAAGGGAGTAAAGTTCCCTCCAGCAAGGAGGGGGTTCTGAGTAGGATACCCACGAGGCAGTCTTTGTCTAGAAGTTTTAATGGGTTTAGAAAAGAGCTACCCTATGGAAGACTACCTACTTTTCAGGGTTCAATCTATGCAGTGTTGTGAGGAATCACTCAGAATGCTTCACATTTCAGGGATATCTAAAGACAACTGAGGACCTGACCCTGGTTGTCTGCATAGGCACACAGTGGGATATAGTTATGTGACCATGACTTAGCACAGGTGAACTTGTATGCACTGGATAGAACTCTACACAAGAATGTAAATATGAGATAACAACCTGGGTAAGAATTATACAATAAAAAAACACAGTGGTTCTCTGCTGTGCTCCACGCTGCCTACCTTTGTTGCTGATGTCTTGAACATGTACATTCTCTAATCTTGGGACCTCACGCATGAACATCTTCCTTGAGTCACCAAAGCAGGCCAACCAGTGTTCACACAGTGCCCATGCACAGGCCATGTACCCTCCAGCCAATGGCCTGCCAGATTATGCTCTGGAAAGGTCTGGAACAGCTGAAGGACAGTCAACAGATGTTTCGGTAAGGTCCCTGGAGGATCACAACTCAGCAGGCTCCATTTTGGACTTCAAGATTCTGTTTTGGGGCTGCTGGCCTTAAGGCCTAGTAGAATCCTAACTCCTATTTCAGTAATTCCTGTTACAATGATGTCAACCTAAATCAGTCACCCTGGAACCATGTCTACAATAAATCATTAATAGGAAAAGGGACGCTAAAAATGTACAAACAATAGTTACCTTTCTACACAGAAAAAGTGCAAATATTTCTAATTTTTTCTCCTTGTTTGTTGGACTTTTTGAAATGTGTGAATATTATCATAATTATCAAAACAATGATTAAGGGGCAAACAGAAAAAGAAAAATTAGAGGATGGGGAGAGGATTCAATGGTGAAACTTTCAAAGCCCCATTGCGTGGTGACCTGATTTAGGCCTCTGCTCCCTCCCACTGCAGGACAAGCCATTGTCCTCTTGTTTTTCTTAGGGAAACACAACAGCCTTGTTCTTCTTCCTTGATGGCCAGGGATGCATGGCTGAAGAATCAGCTGCAAACAGTTTCTCCTGGCCACCTCTGACTCAAGAACACCATGGAAATGCTGTTTCTCACCTCCAGTCTCTGTACAGCTGCTAAAATAAGTGATTGCTTTTAAGTGAGAAAATTAAGCATGGAAAAGTGACTGGATCTGTTTAAGGTCATTTCTGCAATTGTAGAGTCAGCATGCAGACCCTGTTCCTGGTATTTGACAGTCAGCTCCTGCCACCTGAGGCAAGGGATCATTCTGCTACAGTACATTGCTTGGGGACAAAAAAACTTCCATCAAATAATAGCAAGATTCTTAGCCTTGGACCTCTTGATTCATATTCCACATGCAAGAGTCTGAGCCTTGAAAATATCTTCAATCAGCTTGGACCTAAAACTACAGTTCCCTGGTCAGTCATTTGGACTGAACATCCACCATAGTACATTCCCATAGCTTAAATTCCAGGATAAGAAAGGGAGGGCTGGAATGTATCTTGAGGTAGAGACTTGCCTAGCAGGTAGAAGGTCTTGAGTTCCATGCCCAGCATGAGATTGTATAACTGCTTACAAGTGATTTTTAAGACCAGAGGGAGAATGAAAACTGGACAGAGGAACACTATTTGCTATAATAAAGCAAAAGAAATGACAAGCTTAGTGCCTACACTAAGGAAATCTGATGAGACCTCATTTCACTATAGAGCCTTATAAGTAGTGAAATTCTGTGTGATACAAATCTAAAATTGTGTGCTACTGCTTGTTTTCTTTCTGTCAACAAAAGTGCACCATTTTTGTGTCAGACATTGAGGTGAGTACTGAGAAACAATGATTACCTGTTGTTTTAGTTACTTTTCACTGGTTGTTGAGACAAAATACCTGATGCCCAACATGAAAGAATGAAGGGTTTATTTCTTACAGATTGGAGGTTTCAGTCCATCCTCAGTTGGCTCCAAGGCAAAATGACATGGCTGAGAGGCAGCAGTTTGTGGTGGATACAAACAGCAAGCATGAACAGCAAAAGAGAAAGGCAGGCCTTCTTCCCACAGGTACACTGTATGTTCGCTCCACCCCTGTGTAGATGTAGCACTCATACCACCAATCTAAGTGTTAGACAATGAACCATTCAGAAATGCTAGATTTGGCCACATCCATGATTGCATGAGGCTTGAATGGTCACTGACATAAACCATGACACCAGTAGAGACAAAGAGCCTGCTCTCATACTCTCACCACAAAGCTTACAGTCTATTGATATTTATCAAATCACTATCCAAATATGGGCTGAGCATTCCTAATATGAAATCTGAAGTCTGAAATGCTTCAAAGTCCAAAACTTTTTACTACTGATACAGTGCCAAAAGTAGAAAATTCCACAGCAAGAAATTTTGTTTTCAAACACAAAATGTTTTTTAATTAAGATTATTGGCACATTTTAGGTGTAAATTATGATCATGTTAACCACGGGAAATTTGTAGCATACATGATATGAATCTTTTTTCTCCATTCCCCTACCTTTCCTTCAAGTCTCTTCCCCTCCTTATTTATGAAAGGTTTGTTTCTTTCTTTTCTCATTAATTTTTTTTGCCTTCCTTCCTTTCGCCCTCCTCCATCCCTAATTCCCCATCTCATTAGATAACATTCACAATATGTATTTTATTTTGGTTCTTATCTACATTTTCAATTTCCCACAACAGGAAAACAACTCAGTACACATGTTAAACACGACATTATTAAAAATATAATGTAAAATTATCTTCAAGCTATGAATATGAAGTATATATGATCTATAAATAAATTTCATGTTTAGACTTGGATCCCATCCTCAAGATAACTTATTATATATATGCAAATTCTCCAATAAACCAAAAATTCACAAATTCCAAACACATCTGGTCCCAATCATTTTGTATTAGGGACAGTGAATATGCAGATGTTTAATTAACAATCTTATGGAAGAAGTACAAGGGCTGATCAAGATATACTAATTATAAAAATAAAACAAATAAACAGCTAATATTAAAAATTTTTAAATTTACTACAATAAAAGATATGTGCCCATTAATTCTCCTTTAAAAAATACCTCCTTAAAATAAATAAAATACACCTCCTTGCTTCAAAGACACTTCTTCATTTGTTCTTGCTTTTTTGAAGCAGTTTTGGAAGTCCACTTATACAATTGTCTACAAATTGAGATAAATAATATAGTGACTGATGCTGCTGAGTGCCATCCAATGGAAAGGACAGCTCATAAATATATTTTGGTGTGTCCTCACCCACCTGATTCATCAGATCTGGACCCTTGTGACTTCTGACTTTTCTGCAAAATCAAAATGACCATGAAAAGTAAATAGTTTGAATTGATTCAAGACATTGAAGCAGCCACAACAGCAAAGCTAAGATCCTTATAAGAGGACATCCAGAATTGATTCAGAAGAAAAAGGCAAGAATGATGGAATAAGTGCATTCAAATGAAGGAGGAACTGGGTGTGGTGGTGCACACCTGTAAACTCAGCACTTGGGAGGCTGAGGCAGCAAAATCTGAGTTTGAGACTAGCTTGGGCAACACAGTGAGTTCAAGGACAGCCTGAGCTGCATAGCAAAATCCTGTCTCAAAAAACCAAAAAACAACAAAAAAGAACACCTAGCTGATTGGTTTAGCACAGTTTTGTGTTTGTGTTTAGATTACTGACTTACTAAAGATGGAAGACCTTCCCTGTGTATGGTGGGCAACCAATAGGCCTGCATCCTGGATGCAGTAAAAAGAGAAAGTAAAATGTCTGGCTCTGCCTCTTCAGAAGAGTTCGAGTGCTTGCCATCACCTTAGGTGTCATTTCCAGTCTCCTAGCACAGATTCTTTTGCTTCCTGCCAGGGACTCTTCCAGGACTCTGCAGTGAGGTCCAGGACTCAGACTATTGACTGGATCTTTTGCATCTCCAAGGAGAACATGGCCCTTTTGTGTTCTCCACCTGACTCTGCAGATGGCCTTCCTCAGACTCCTCTGTAAATCCTTTAAGTGTCACACACACACAAATTAAATCTGACCCTCTAGTGAACCCTGACAAAAACTGCCTCTACTACCTGTGCAACCTCCCATGAACAATTTGCTGCCTCACTCATGTGAAAAATACAAGGCAGAACTGTAGTGGTGCTGTGCTAACTATGGGTTAGTTAATGGAGGGGTTGGTGTGAGGTCTCTTGGGTTAAAATTCTATCCACTGCTTTGTCATTGGAAAAGGTATTAAATATTGGTGTCTAGGCTCACACAGCTATGAAAATGAAGATAATTGCTAACTCACACTCTTGTAAGAATTAACATATGTAAAGTGCCTCAGAGAGGCCCTGGCCTGACACAATAACTGGTACATATGCTTGTTATTATGTTATATTAACATGTAAACATACTTTTAAGTTATGAAGACATTAGACGACAGATACCGAAAGCACTCCTTTCTCTGCAATAAAAGAAAGGCAACAAAGCAAATAACAATGGCATCTGAGCACTTGCTATATGCTAGGAACCATGGGAAGATCTCTGCAGGGTTTCATTGGATCTTTACAGCAGTGCCAAGGAATGACTACTGCCATTCATCACGGTTCGTTTTTTGAATAAAGTAAACCCCACAATATTTCACAACAAAATAATAGGAGAATAACAATAGTGGAAATTGAGGCTGTGAGAAGCATAGCAGTGTGCCTAATGTATCAGGGCCAGAAGTTTTGAGTCCAGACATCTAAATTCCAAGCCTCAGACTCAGTCCACTCCTCTGCTTTGTCTCACAGTGGGCCTGGGGTTCAGGGTCTCCCAGAAGCCTCATCAGAGACCTCCACCTGCAGCCAAACCCTGCTTCAGTGGGGACCTAACCCCCACTGCCAGGTCCACTGCCTCATTCTAGTCCCACTGGCAGGCTTGCACCTACTTGGCCCCAGCTTCTGGCCCCGCCCCTCACACCGCTTCGCCCTACCCCCCAGCCTTGAGTGAAGGTTCCGCTGCCCCCGCCCCTCCCCCAGGGGGCCGCGCCCTGGACGCCCGGATCCGTGCACCTCCACATCCCGCTCTGTCTCGCCCATCCCCCAGCCTCGCCCTCGCAGCTATTGCTGGTCTTGTGTGTGGAGTCGCCATTTTGCTGGTAGAGATGCCATCTGGAGATCGCAGCGCTCCTCTTTCCTCGGCCTAGGCTGCTGTGGGGCGGGGGATGGGGCCTGGGGCCTGGGCCAGGTAGGCGGGCGTGAGCCGGCGGCGAGGGGCGGTGCGGCCTGGTGGCCCCGACGTTAGCGGCGCAGTGAGTCCTGCCGGCGGGTTCGCGGGCCGGGGCGGCAGCGGGACCGGCGCTCGGGGCGACCCAGCCTGGGTCCTGAAGGGCCCCTAGCTTCCTTTCTCCCTCCTCTCCGTCAGGGTTAGAATGGCCAGGCCTCGCGTGCAGCCCCGGGGTCTTGGCCCAGCCAGGCGCTGTTGGGAGCCCAGCCTAGCTGTGGGAACTGAGGCAGGCAGCTCAGGTCTCACATGGCCTCTGCTGTCAGTGAGCCAGGCCATGCTGAGCCACTGATATTTACCCCCAAAATGACGATTTTATTCCACTCGGAGCTCCTCCCTGCAGAGACAGAGAGGACCTAGATGTTACAGAAAGGTAGCAGTTATTATTCTACCTGGACATGCTTTGGCTCAAGTCCCTTCCATTGATAGGGGGGTTTCTGCTTCTTTTCAAATTGGCGCCACTTGGGTGTTTAGGCTTTGTGAGGAGTCTGAATGTGGCATGGGGCTTTGAGGGATGAGCCAGTGTGATCAGCAGTTCAAAAATTTAAATCCACAAATAAAACTAATTCACCAACATTGTTGAACCTGCTGCAGGATACCCATCTTGTCCATATTCGGCTGTCTCTAACCATTACTCCCCTGTTCTGCTCACAGCATTTATGTATTTGCATAGTGTTGAATATTTATATTATATGCATAGGTAGAGTTGCACTTAGTTATCCTGTTACTGACCATGTATACAAATCTAGTTCCTCTTAGAAAAATTGGTGTTGAGCATGTATCTTTTTTCTTGGGATAAATTCCGGAAATTGGAAATAGTAAATCAAAGTTCTGTGTTCTTTCCCTGGCGCTTGATATGAATTGCTTCCTAAACAAGACATGTTTAAATAGACGACTTTCAAAATCTAGGTATTTGTCCAGTTATCTGGACAAATTTGGTGTTCAGCAAGGTGTTGAGTTCTTTTCTGTGCTGGCTAAGAAACAGGCCACACAACCTACTGTTTGATTTTGTTTTTAAGTCATGTATCATGTTCATCCTTTTGTTTTGATTGACTATTTTTTTTTATTTGGTTTTATTCCCTTTAAAATAAATTTTAAAAAAAATTTTCTTGCTATGCATGGTGGCGCATGCCTGTAATCTCAGCACTCTCAAGGGTTACACAAGAGGATCACAGAGAGTTCCAGGCTAGCCTGAAATACATGGTGAGTTCAGGGTCAGCCTGCAGTACGTAGCAAGATGTTGTCTCAAAACAAAACAAACTAATAAGTACTTTTTTCCTCTTTTCTTATTTTATATAGCACAAGTAGATGGTAAAACAGAAAATATGAAAACATTTATAGATTAAAATTTTCATAACAGAATAGTTATACAATAATGATTCTTATACTGTGTTCAGTGATCCCAGGGAATTCTCCATGAGCTGTATGCCCATATACTTTAGTTTTTTTTTTTAATTTTTGAGACAGACTTTAAATAATTTACTCAATTCCCCAGATTGGGTTTAAACTTGTGGTCCTCCTACCTTAGCCTCCCAGAATGCTGAGAGTGCAGGTATAAGGTATCTTCACTTGGCAATTCACAATAATTATGTATGTTTGTGGGATGACATGCACTTGTGATCTATGGCTCCTTTGTAGAAAGAATCAATCAAGTTAATGTGTCTACCACCTTACCTACAGATTGTTTCACAGTGAATGGGACTGCCAATCTCATTGTTTAGCAGTTTTGAAAGCTATACTTCTTATTAACTGTGGTCACCATGCAGTTTATTGTAAAATTGAACATTTCTTCTCCATTGTGACTGAGACTTTGTATTCTTGGGTGAATATCCTCCTTTCCCCCTCCTTCATGGAATTGATCATTTTTTTAAATCAATGTGCCCAAGAAAGGTGTGGAGGCTCAAGATAGTTGGGGCACACTGCTCTCCAGAAGACCAGGTGATGGTGCTCTACAGCCCCTCACATCGCTCCCAGTTTGTCTGTGTTTTTTCCTTAACATAATTCTGTGAATTATAGCGCATGGCCATGCACTGAACTACACTAAATTCTGTTTTAAAATTCTTTTTTATATTGAGCCAGGGTTTCCATAAGTAGCTACAGTGCTGAGACACCATTCTTGAACATAGATTCTTACATGTCTGTGTGTGGACGCACATTGATGTCAGAGACATTGCATTTTCAAAGTCAGTATCCTCTGACTTTGAACACACATCCTTCTCTCATCCATGTATTATTTCATGATCAGATTCCTTGTCCTCTTACCCTGTGGCCCAGAGAGATCAAGCTCAGCATCTGCACAGCTTTTCCTGGTTCTCCTGACCCACACTGATGCCCCGCACCTTCTACGTTGAGGGTAGCAAGGATCACATTTTCCTCCTGCTTCAAGCAGTGTTGTGAACAACAGTCTTGAAAAGAAAGCTTGAAAAGTTATACAGATCTCTGTGTAGGATAAATCTCTATTTTTAGACCTCAAAGTCTGGGGACACCTGTGAGAGCTGTGATGGGAGCTTCTGGACAGGGCTCTGCCCCACCCACCATGTTCTTCTCAGTACTGTTCAGCACTTGCCTTAAAGTCTGCCATCAGATGGGATCACAGCACATGTCAGGGATGTATTCCTGAATGAATCACCCTTGTGGGGCCCAGCGTCTTCTCCATTTGTTGGCCACACTTGGTGGTTCTCTTTTGAGTTAGAAGAATTTTTCATCTCTCACAGAATGGACTCATAGACACCTCTTTGACACCTCTAATACAAACTCTCTGCCTATTGCTTGTAAGGAAAGATTTCTTATTGTGGATTCTACATTATTCTTTTTCTGTTTTTCAAATGCAGTGAATCAGATCTTTCTCTCTCCCTTCTATCATGGGAAAGCTTTTCCAACATGAAAAGATCAGTAGATTTCTTACATTTTCGCTGTAGATTTTGGTTATTTGGGATTTTCTCTTCTATGAAAAAGCAATGGTAGCCAGTCTCCTCCAGTAATGTTTGGCCAAACATAATCTGATGCTTGAATATTAACGACCCAGAGTAGCAAATCACAGTGAGAGAAAAATCAGAGGTGGGTTGGGACTAGTAGAAGAGTACAGGCATATGGATGAGTCCAACACTGAACAGAAAGCTAGAAATCAATAGATGTAGAAATTGTACAAGTTGATGATGTCCTTATGTGCTACTGAATTGAACATGTTGAAACTAATGACATCTTAACTTTTAATTAAAATTATCTTAGACTTTAATGTTGAGAACAATTATAGATAATAAGACTAAAATGAAAGCTGAAAGAAATACAAGGGGTACAAAGGAAGGAAGGGGAAGGGAACAGAGGTTCTCTGCAGCACTTGGCTGGAAGTGGAGCTCAGGATTCTTGCCATGGAGCTAGTAAAAGCGCCAGTTCTGAAATTCCTTAAGAAAGGGTGCCTAACCTTAGTTTTCACTTTGATCCCAGAGCTGGCGAGGTCACTGGAGTCCAGCTGGCACAAACTCTGCAAGTCCGACTTCAGGTCATCAGGTACTAGCCTTGCATCAACAGAAGGAGAACAATCACCAACTGTCCTTGTTCCTTGCAGGCCCGAGAACTTCACAGTGCCTGTCACAGACAGCTCTGTGCACAAATCCACCCCAGCAAAGTTTCTCATTCTTCCTTGACCCACTCACTTGTACATGCCTCAGGCTTGCCAGAGATCCCAAGTCTGGCAGTCTTTCTCCATGTAAAGTGTCTTATGCAATCCCCAGAGGCCCACAGACCCAGGCCAATCCCTCCTGAAGGCAGGGCTCAGCTTCAGTGAGCTCAGGTTGGTCCAATTCAGCTGGGGCATCTTGTGGAGTTGAACACCAGCCTCCTGCTCCAGTTGCAGAGAGACCAGCCCAACCTTCTCTCTGCCTTGAATTGGGCAGTGCTGGCTCAGGAAGCCTTCACCTGCTGAAAGAAGTCCCTAATAGTGCTGAGACCACCTGTCCTCTGTTCTTGAGGAAAGCACGAAATGCATCTTCCTTTCCCACCCTCGTGGTGTGTTGTCTCTGTGAGAAAAAGAATGGTATCTGCAGTGTTACTCTACTCGTGCTTACTCTACAGGGTTGGTGCACTTTAAATATCAGTGAAGTGAGTGAACAGAGGGAGTGTGTTCTGCCTGCCATCATCTTCAGTTCATATAGTGATGTATCATCCCATTCTGTGTACCTTCTTGGGACACCCCTTCCCCTAATATGTGTTCAAATGTACAGAGGCCAGGAAGTTAGGCACATTTACGGTAATGTGGATAGTACCTGATCTGTTCTTCAGAGGGACTTGTGTCCTGGATAACATGGAATCACAAGAGAGCAGTGGTTACATTTGCTCTGGTCACTGCATCATGGTCACAGCTTAGTAAATTGATGATTAAAGGCACTCACCAGCTCCCTCCATGATGTCTGTGTGGAATTGTGCCCCCTGGTATTCCCCAGAGATTCCTGCTATGGATACCATGGTAGCCAATAGAATGACACTCTGGTGTCCTTTATAATGAAGAGAACAGCTTCAATCAAGTGACAGGCCCTTGGTAGTAGGCAAAGCTTCCCTAAGGCTAAGAAAAAAGACAGTGCAGGCAGGGTCACAGCTCTGAGGGGAAAGACCTGGGTTTAGACCCAACTCCTCCTTCTGACTTCCTAAGACAAGACACCGTGCCTCTCAGAACCTTCACAGAGTGTCCTCCTGCACTACAGAGGTTACCCTGGCATCTACTTCCTAGGGACCTTATTGGCAATGTGAGATGACAATTGTAATGCCTTTGGGCTGATATCACATAGACATACTGTACAGAATTAGAGGTTAAATCCAGGAAGGGGTGCAATGGATGTGGAATACAGTGCACATAGGCCTGGCCCCCACTGCCTGGTGGCAGAAATGACACACAACTTCTGGACGTATTCCCTGGTAGTATTGTGAAGGGGCGGAATTTCATTGATTCAGTCATCTTTATGTTCCCTAAATATCGCAATTTCTTCTACGTATTGGTGTTATGCCCTCAAGTTAGGAACTCACACAGGCTAAGCAAGAACTATGGATGGAGTTGCACCCCAAAATCTACTGGCAGTGCTTCTATATTCACACCTATGTGAGTCACCACACCCATGACTGGTCCTACTCAATAGGTGACAGCTAACTTTCTGATGGCTACAACGTGGTGAGTAATCCATTCCCTACCTAATGGGCCTCACTTAGTTATTTACTATTATTAGTGTTATTGTTTTGCATTAGCACTGAAATTGAGCCCAGGGCTGCATGCATTGTCAGCAAGTATTGTACACTGAGCTGTCTCACCAGCTCCTGACTCATTCTTAAATAACCAAATATGGTAGACATCATGTGATGCAAATATTAAGGTTCACACATAAAATAACTGTGATCCACCTCCTGTTCTTTCCCTCTTATGTTCTCTCCTCCTTTCCAGTATTTATTTTTCTCCCTCTCTGGATCTCTGGCTTGGGGGAAGCCACTGCTCGCTCTGCAGCTTCTCTGGAGAAGGTTTAGATTCATCTCCTGAAGGGAGAGATGTTGGCGAAGTGGAAGCGTGTAAAGTGACTTCACCTTGGGTGGTTGTTTTATCAATTTGAGGGGCTTGGCAATGCTGTGTAAGTAGCTCCAAGATTAGGTTCCAGTAGGCAAAGGCTGTAACTGGGACCTTTTCAGGGCCAAAGACCCGATAGTAATCCTTTAATGCATCTCCTACTCTTTCCCATCTTTTTGCATCAATAGAGCCCTCTAAAGGAAACCAAGGGCAAACCTTATGAATAAATTGAAAATACTGCAATAAGTCTTTTTCTTTAGCCTTTATCCCTCTTGTCTTTAAAGCTTTACTTAAACTTGATACAAAGCATTTATGGTCGCTTAATGCCTGACCCATGCCAGAGAAAAGGGAAAAGGATTGCTGTCCACTTACCATGACTCTAGCGGTGCAACAGGCTCCTGCGTAGCGTTGGTCACAAAACTTTTAGTTTCACTTCAATGCGTGTGTCTCAGGATGGCTCCCTCATTGAGCCCTTCATGCCAAGAGCCCCATGACAGGCGCCACTTGACCCGGCCTGCAGGTCAATTCAGATCTGTGGGGCAGTTTCCTGGAGAAGGGATGGGGATTAACACAGACAGGGCCAGACACAGAGTGTCAGAGACAAGTCAAGGGAGTCCAATTAAGTCTCATTTATTAATAAAGTGGTCACTGGTTTTATATGGCAGGGGTGGGCTGGTGGGACACGAAGAGGCTATGGGGTAATCTCTGATGGGTCATCATCATGTCTGTGTATGTGACGTAAGTAGGAGAGGACTATGGTTAATATAGGCAGGTGCATTATGTGCCCATAGGAGGGAGAGGCGGGGAGACAGCAGTGGGGCAGTTGCACCACTCCCTACAACAAATAAATAACCTAATGCTACATCTCAAGTTTCTAGAAAAGGAGGAGCAAGTCAAACCCAAAGCTCATACAAGAGAGACAATTGTAAAGATTAGAACAGAAATTAATGCAATTGAAACTAAAAAAAAATGCAGAAAATTAACCAATCAATGAGTTGGTTTTTTTTTTTTTTGAGAGAGAATAAACAAAACTGATAACCTTCTTATTAAGAAAAAGAAAAAATTCAAATCCACACAATAAGGACTGAAAAGATGGAAATTAGTACAGATGCCATGGAAATTCAAAAGATCATGAACACATACTTTGAAAATCTCTACTCACATAGAGTCAA